CGTATCTTTGAACAAAATCCGACTATCTTTTTCCGTCTCTGCTTTGGCTGGTGAGTAACGAGGAAGAGGGAGGCTGTGCGTGGTTAGTTTCCATAGAAAACTCGGGGAAAAACCGCTGAGACAAGGTCAACTAAAAGGTGTCCTCGATTTGGACCGCTTTCCCTCCAATGAGCCGTGAGCAGAGGCGCTGGGAGGAGGGGGTGTGAACACGACCAGCGGCCGTGAAGAAAAAAGCAGGAAGTCACTTAAACAGAGGGCCATTATAAATAGATTCCTGGTTATCTTTCTTAACCGAACAGATGCAGCAGAAAAAAGGCAAAGCGGGGCAGTAAATTTAGGATCCACCGCTCGAAGACCTCAGTCCCAAAAAGGTGAAGTTACCAAAAAAAGAGAGCACCTCAGACATGCCGTTTAGTCTCTTTTTGCATGATAAAGTTGAAAAATGAACTTTATATATATATATAATAAAGCTAAAGTTGATATAATAACCGTTAGTTTATCATATACATGTTGTATGTAATAAACTTTAGCTTAAAAGACACTGAATGCTCCTAAATGAGCTCAGTTTGCATCTGCAAAAGGAAGCCGACTGCACGTGTGTGTGTCGGTCCCACACTTCGAACGGGAGGAAAGTCGTGCACGTACCGGCGAGGCCGACCCCGGCCAGCAGCAGCAGGAGGGCGTTAGCGAGGACGCCGCTCGGAGGAGAAGGGCGACCACCAGCCATGTCTTAGCGGGGAGCGGAGCAGTGACTGTTTCCTCTTCTGCTGCCTCTGCTTTGACAAGTCAGCTCAGAAAAAAAAAAAAAAAAAAAAAGGCTGAGTGGGCGGATTAGACTCGGGCCCCAGAAAGGAGAAGTCGTGCGAGATTAGACGAAGGAGGAAGTCGGCCTGCTGCTTCAGAGCGAGCCACCGTGCAGAGTTTTTTAAAGGTCAGAAAAAAGCAGCATTTGTTTTTTTTTGTTTTTTTTAATTCCCATTGAGATTCAGAATCTCTTTTTCAAGAGAGACCTGGCCAAGGTAGCAGCCAAACCACAGGAAGTTCATACATATTTACAACACGTTACATTTTTCATAATAAAATCGGAGCCGTATGTTGAGCATCTCAAGAAAAACAAGCACATATCTCCATCACTACACTCAACATGGTTGTTTAAAATTCATTAATGGACACGAGAGTTTTAAGTTGAGCTCTTTCTGGAGGTTATTCCATCCCCAGGGTGCAGAAGACTCGGTCCACATGCGTTCGAAAGCCTGTGTGAGGAAGCGTAGGAGCTCAGAGCGAGAGGCCTTCGCGGTGAGGGGGGGCCCGATTCAGAGAAGGGGAAGGGATGTGGTGGCAGACCTCAGCAGACCCAGACTCTCAGAAACGAGCCAGAGAAGCCATGAAGGAGTTAACAAAAACACACATTCGTGCGTGCAAATTAACCCTATAATGCCAAATGTGTCATATTTTATACGGTTTCTGAAGTCTTTTGGATCTGAGACTTTTTGCATCATTCAGTGGTAAAAGCTTTGCTCAAACCCCTGTTGTACACATTCAGATATACCTGATAACAGCCAGTAGAAGACTACACCAACATATATTTTTTACTTATTGCACGCTAATTTGATCAAAATAGTTTCAGTTTTTTTTCCTTCATATGTTGTTGAGGGGCCAAAGTAAGACTTCAGACTAAAAAAATGCAATATTCTTCCTATTTTTCTTGGATCAGGCTTTAAAAGGTTAAGTCTAAAAAGAATGGGAGGTGTCCAAGGTAGAGCTATAAAGTGACTATATATGTATATATATATATATATATATATGTGTGTTTGTGTGTGTGTGGGCATGCAAACGATACCTATCGGTGACTCAAAGTGAAATACTGTGAGGAAGCAGGAGCCCCAGCATTTCCAGCCGTTTGCTGGAAATCCCACAAACACAGACACTCCCCCTTCAGTATGAACACGCCCCCTCCAGGATGGTCCAGCGAATATTCCTGTTGTGCAGCAAGCAGAAAGGGTCCAAATTAAGGAGCTGGAGAGCCATTTTTAAACCTGGATTACTAAAAATAGGATCCTATGCAGATGTGGATGGAATCAGGCTGGAGATTTCACATCACTTTGTGGGTTTCTTTAACTATCTCAAAGGAAAATGCTAAAAATTGGAAGTTGTAAATCTAAATAAAAGGTATTCTCAAAGGATTTGAGCGCTTTATGAAGCAGAGTTGGCCGTTAACCTTTTCCTGGAGCTGCTGGCTCCCTCCCAAAGAGCCAGTGAGGACGCCTGGGTTAGCTTCAGGTTTAAAACCTGTTTCCTGTGGCCAAATTTGGCATGCAATGTGTGGCTCAGACTGAGTCCTGTTGGATTGGTAGCCGTTTAAAGGGGAGGATGTAGCACACGAGAGTGTTTGTGCATCCACGCAAAAGCCAGCCGGTCTTAAATCGAGCTGACCTGGAGACAAAAAAAGGGCTGCCAGGCTTTTTTACCTGCTGGTGAAACAATCAGGGGGTCAGATTTTCTCACGCTTGCAGACAGGCTGATTGACAGGAAGTGGCTTTTGGGTCACACCACAGCCGCCTGAGCGACGCAGACCAGCCAATGAGAAAAGGCCACTCTCACAGCGGTGTTATTTACCATGTGGTCTCGTCACTTCCTGTTTTATTTTGAAGAGTAACCCTCCTCTTGTTTCAGGTGTCTTGCACTTCCCGGTGTGTCATTGGTCCAATTGTCTTCCTGATCACCTATTGTGTTCACCTGGGGCTCCCCTTCCCATCGCTCCATCCATCATCTAACTTCTTATCCCCTAATGGGGTCGGGGGGGCGGGGCCTATCCCAGTAGCCAATGGGGAGAGGCGGGGTCCCCCTGGACGGTCCCCAGTCCATCACAGGGACACACAGAGACAAACAAGGACCAACAACCACACACACTCACACTAAGGGCAGTTTGGAGTCCAACAACCTCCAACCCAGAACCCTCTGGCAGAAAGGTCCTGGTTCCTCCGGGACTCCAACCCAGAAGCCTCTGGTCCTGGTTCCCCCGGGGACTCCAACCCAGAACCCTCTGGTCCTGGTTCCCCCGGGACTCCAACCCAGAACCCTCTGGCAGAAAGGTCCTGGTTCCTCCGGGACTCCAACCCAGAACCCTCTGGTCCTGGTTCCCCCGGGACTCCAACCCAGAACCCTCTGGCAGAAAGGTCCTGGTTCCTCCGGGACTCCAACCCAGAACCCTCTGGTCCTGGTTCCCCCGGGACTCCAACCCAGAACCCTCTGG